ACTTCTCTCTGTAGATAGGTTCTCTAACTTGAATCTACCCAGTTCTCATCTGATACTTGTCGTTGGGTCTGAACTTCTCTTATCTAAGAGAACTCCCTCTGTACACAGAACCATCTTCTCTTGAGACGATACTCTTGAGTTGAACTCCATCTCTTGGATCATATCCTCGAGAAACTCCAATTGACTCTACGCAGTAAGGGCCTCAACCCTTACTCAAACTCAGTGCAGGCAAGCTCCTTGCTGGGCTAGCGCCGAAAGGCCACACTTTGAACGCCCCTTGCGGGTTTAGCGCTGCTGGATCTCATCCAAGAGGTTTCGCGTAACAACGACTACTTGGACTTGCTCCTTCGGCGAGAGGGTCCACCTTCAAACAGAACCTGCTCAGTCTGTCCAAAGGATGGGGTCTACAGATGTCACGGCTGCGTGGCCGAGCCGCTCTTCTGTACTCATTGCTGTCGGATGATGCACAGCCGTATGCCATTCCATCGGATCAGTCAATGGACCGGGGGATTCTTTGAGGATACTTCCTTGACCAAGATTGGCCTGGAGATACACCTCGGTCATGCCGGCCAGCCCTGCCCTGGTCTCACGGACGAGTGGTGCGACACAGATGATGAAGGAGACCATTTGACCGACGGCCCTTGGATACCCTTGGTCAACGATCCTCAGACAACCACTGGTGGTGGACACGTCGGGGCTCCACTCCCTGATCAGATTCTGTCGGTGCGCTGATGCACTAAGCCCTGACATGCAACTATTTGAAATGGGCCTCTTCCCGGCATCTTTTACTTCGCCGAAGATGGCATTCACATTTGTGGTGTTGGATGACTTCCTGTTGGACAACCTGGAATGCGGGACTTCCGCCATGAACTACTACAGTAAATTGAGGAGAGTTACTTCCAGCGTGTTTCCTCATCTGGTTCCAGTGAGTGACTTTGATGTTCTCCGCTGCATCGCTCACAATGGCCGGCAGGACCGATACAGGGAATTGATGAGGGTGGGTAGGCAGTGGAAGCAAGTGAAACAGCTCAAGTGGCATGGGTTCGGCCATGAGAAGAGAAAGCCAAAGGCAGGGGAGCTCGCACTCTTCTGTCCTGCATGTCCACAGCCCGGGGTGAATGTCAATTTGTCAGACAGGAACGGGTCCGACCCTGCATGGTTGTATTCAAGATCTTTGGTCATGGATGGCAATTTCAAGGCCGAACATTTGTATCCGGCCAATCCGACCGATGAGGTGGCATTGACCGATGGCTTGGGCTTCATGGTCGGCGATGCCCGATACAAAATGCATCTCGCCGAGGCGCAGGACACGGTGCAGAGATCAGATTGCAACAACCACCGAGCGGTCAACCAGGCAAATGCATCGCGCCACAAGCTCGAGGCAACAGGGATAGGCGGGTGTGCTTGCACCAGACATGGGTGTTTTGTTCCCCATTCAATGGTGGACTTTCAGAAGGGGGAAAGGTTTGCCGTCCGATATACTGGGTCAGCCGAGTTGAGCTGATGCAGTCGGTCGGCCAAAAGACAGATGAACATGGATTATGCGCTGTGCCAAGCTCTGGGGTACAACACCGATGGGATCGACCGTGCATTGACATTCTACGACATTAACTGTCAATACCACAAGCATCTCAACCGGCGGATTGAGGAGTCGCCCTATCTTGACCTTCCATGGGGCATGGAGATTGTTCCAGGCATTGGGCTCTGGCATGTCCACGGCCATCAAGACAAATGCTACGTACGGTACACATCCAACTTCATCACCGGTGCAGCCAGGATCGACGGCGAAATCATGGAGACCCTTTGGGCGCCTTTGAACATAATATCGCCAGTCGGCGAGAGGGATGTCCACCCCTCACCGAAAGGAGTGTTTGGACTTTCAAATGAACGACTGTAATTTTATGAAGATGATACGCATGAGTGAGCAATATTATTTGACCGAGTGCTTAAATCTCAATGCATCTAGGCAAATTCCTTTGCCGAAAATTCAAGGAAGCTGTACAGGGAGTCCAAGACAGCCGATATGCATTTGACCGGTTGACCGAGACCGCCGACGACGACACCCTTGCCAAATGGGAAGCAGAGGCTGCTGCCGCTCAGGATGACCGACTTCATAATCCCGGTGCCATGGATATATATGAAGTTCAATTGACCAAAGGTACGGGCGAACAGAACATCCACTTGCAATACGCTGATATGCTGTGGCAAAGCACCGACAAGAAAACAGCAAGAGTTGCATCTGTTGAACCGCCAGGCGCAATGGCCCGCCGGCGAGATCCATCGCGGTGCGGCAACATGGCTGGCCTCTGGGATCACGCTCGAAGAGGCACAAGTAGCCCTCTTGATTGACGTGAAGAAACTGGGAAAGCGGCCGACCGACACCCAGAAGCTGGCCATCGCTCGGCGTCGCCACAAATGGCAAGACCAACTTGATGAATTTGTCAGGGTGGCGGGTACATTCCTCGGCGATCAATTTGACAGCTATGACCAGTTGGACGGTATGACTGTGATGTTGGATACTGCAGCATTGGATTCAGTGGGTTCATCGTCTGACGATCCAGATCGGTCAGATGAAGAAGAATTTGATATCCCGGTCGAGTTCAATCCCGAGACTGTGGTGATTCCATTGCCGTCCAACATCGGCATCACAAGGTGTGCCTGAGTGGGGCGTTGCTGACCTGGTGTTGCAAGAAATATCCTTAAGACAAGGCCAAGCAAATGATGCATTGCATGCCATCAGGGTCAACTTGGCCGACAAGGCCGTGCTCTTTCGCACCACGGTTCGGTCGGCAAAGTCACAAGCTCGGTCGACCAGGGCATGGGCTCGCGTGCACTCGGTCGACAAGGTTCTTCACTTGAATACTCAGATCTACTCAAAATGCCGCAAGCAGCTTGTCCATCTCGGCGCCGATGATTTATTGACCAAATATCGGCCGTTGGAGAAGGCCGACTTAAAGGCTACTACGGTGGTGGCAGACCCGAACGCGCGCGGTCAAAGAAATAGCACGCTGGCATGGTTTTGGTCCATTGATGTCCAAGGGGATTCCACAAGCAATGACTGGATGAATGAATGTGTGCACTTCGCCGACCTACCTATTCCTGTCCGGTGCTAATTTGTTCATCCGACAGTTTACCGTGTCCATTGGCTTCGGACGCTGGCACTGCGTGACCGTTGGGCAGAGGAACTGCTGCTTGTCGGTCGGGAAATGATTTGGACGGTCGAGTTCTTTATTCACAAATCCCAACAATGGGTCGGTCGTTTGCAGGAGGCCGATGCAAACGACATGGTCGGGCACCAGCTGCTATGCAGCGCGCCAGGCTCGGATGTATCTCCGACTCTCACAGCATGCACAAGACAGTTTCGAAAGAACAAAAGGGGTGGCAGTGGTGGCGGAGTGACAGAGGTCCACGCACATGCATTTGGACAATGGCAAGCCCACAGTGGATTAGTCACAAGTACAATGCCGATCCGTATAAAACTTGTGATTCCGCTTCGGTCAAAACTTCAACTAGTCCCAGCTCCGCCCATCATGTCCAACTCCACAACACTTTTTACATATGAACTCAATGACTTTACTGCGTGGGATGCTGCCAACGTCTTGGAGTATGCTACATCTCGATTCAGCCGCGATCTGGCTTGTATGCGACCGGAGCCATGTGCCTCAGGACGCCGGCTTACAAAGCCAGCTTTGTCCGGCACCTTCAATGGGAGGCAGATGTGAGTGCCTCTTCGGTCGGTCGAACCGGTCGGCATGCTATTGTAGCTGATGCCTCCATCAGCGTTTTGCTTTTCCTTATATCAACTTATGTCTGGTGATGAACATTCATCCGACCATGCCTGACCTCCTCCACCTCGTCATTGCCCACTTCGCTCGATTCCAAACCAGCACCATCAATGCTGAGGAACTGCACGACGAATTCTTCGAGTGCTGCTCTCCCAATGACCAAGAACTATGGTCCAATCACCGAGTCGTTCGCAATTATTCCCATGATTGGTGGAAGGATCGCTTCGACAGGTTGGGGTTCGAGCTCCCGATGTTGACCATTCAGGAGGTCATGGAGATGACCTGAGAGCACTTTGAACAACTGGTCGGTCATTTCCTCCAGCTCATCCTGGACTTCCACTGATGTGAATGTTTAGCCGATCGGAGCCATGCTCATGCCAGGTCCCGCTGTGACCGGTCAGGTGGACGGTGATGCCCTCTTCAATCAAATTGTGGCAGTGAGGGCCCATCTCCGACACCTCGGCGAAGCGATGGCCTCCTTGCTGGAGCAGAAGACCCAGATCGCTGCAGCGGCCTGCCTCCACCATATCCCAACTTGAGGCGCCGATTGATGAGGTGGAGCAGGTGCTCATTAATTCCCATAGGTGATTTCGTGCGGAGCAGTGACTGTATGTGCAGGACTTATCGCCGATATCGCTTAAAATACCAGGCGATGTACATAGTATTATTAAATGTGTTTGGGTGCCTTTGTATATAAGCAATCAATGAATGATTCCCGTTCCTCTGCCCGAATCATGACCCCAATTCCTACCGACTGGGCATTGCACACCACATGCATTGCTGCTGACTTCGTTCACCAGCTCTTCGCTTGCCATGTCGGCAATCGGCAACCGTTGGCGTCGCCTCCATTGGCACTGGATGTGCCGACCATGCTTGCTTGTCGGCAGTTAGCCCGAGTGCTTGCCAATGCGTACGCAAACCCGAGTCAGGTCATTTCTGTCATTCGGTCGGAGGTTTACTAACACATCACAGTTCAGCTTGATCTTGACATGATTCGGTACAACGAAGCTCTCGACAAACGGTCCACAGGGAGGATCACAAAACATGAAGACGCTCTGCTCCAAAAATTTCCTTGTAGTTCCCAACAATTGTTGGAGAAGCCCTCGGTGCTCATGGATTCCGGGGGCCGCATCATCTTATGGTACCTTCTGGACACCATTAGCCCAGTGGATTCAAGTAAGGCTATGTATTGTCGCCTGTGGGCCAACCATTTACACCAACCCCACAGGCCAAGATGGAAGCAGCCACGGTCGGGATGGGCTACCTCCTGAAAACAAGCATCACCAGTGGACAAGAGTCCAACTGGAGAACATTCTCCGGTCATTTTCACATGAGCGATTGCCACCTGCTAACCCCAGGATGCATCAACATAGCCCCTTGCTGGTTCCAGCAAGGCTGAGAGGTATGACATGCTTCTTCATGTGTGATGCCGACACTCACTCGGCAGTGTCAGCCTTATGGATTCCCCCCCGCCGGTGGCTTCACCCCGGAGGTGTCGGCTACGCTGAAGGGCGAAGGTGGTCCGAAGGTCATAATATCGATGCAGCGATCGGCACTCCTGGCCTCGGCGGCTCTTCGGGTGATGCACCCAGAGTTGTATTGGGCTTCGGTCACCACACAGATGAAACTCACTCGATGGGCTATGGAAAATGAGCTTGATGGCATGTATGCTCATCTGCAACTTTGGGCCTCGGTGTTCCACTGCGCAGCCAGTCATGTGTAACAGGCAATGCCCTCTTCACTGAGATCCGAGATCTACTCCAGAAGGGTTTGACGTCATGACCAGTGTCGGCCATTATTGCGATGGCTTCATGACACTGTCCAATCTCGGCATTCAGTTGCAATATAACTCCGGTGCCATGGTCGGCTGCTCCGGACACATTGTCAGGCATGGTGTCACATTCAGGGGTGATCGGTTCGTGTGGGCATGGTTCATGCGCGATAGCCTTCACAATTTTGTGGGGACACCTTGGTCAGAGTATGCGAAATACAAGGATGTAGATTGGGATGTCTCAGTTTCAGCTTAGACAACCGTGTCATGGTATATCAGATTACATTACGGTTGTATTCAGCCTTTTGGATCAATTAGTGATAAGGTTGTCAATTAATTTGAATTGATGATGTTGATTGAATCCCTGAAGTCTTCTCGCCGTGTCACCGATTGACCAGACATGAAGATGGAGGCCATGGGCCGAGCCAAGATGATCGGCGTTGTTTGCCATGTGCCGACCGATGTGCATGGGAAACACGTTCCGCATCGGCCCACCTGATAGAATCAAATGCTGCTCGTTCGTGGGCCCACCCGACATCATCCATCCCATCGGCCCACTGATATGCACAGGGAATGCATTCTGCATGGGCCGGTCAATACGTACAGGCAACACATTCTATGGGCCCACACGATGACTTCACAGCAAGCATTGGCCAACCGATATGCACAGGCAGGGCATTCTACATCGGCCTGGTGGATAACATCAGGAATTCATCCCCATCGGCCCACACAATAGCTTCACACCCATCATTGGCCGACCGATATACACAGGCAATGCATTCCATATCGGCCTTCCAGATAGGATCGACCTTTTCTCCCCCATTGGCCCACCTGACACCACACATGCCATCGGCCGCCCGATATGCACATAGAATACATAGTATGGGCCCACCCGATAGAATCAAATGTTCTTTCCCATGTGCCCACACGATGGGTTCACATTTGCTGTTGGCCGACCAATACACACAGGCAAAGTATTCAACATCAGCCCACCTGATACAATACAGACCATCGGCCGGCCGATACCTAAAAACAACACATCATAGGGGCCCACCTGATAGCATCGGGTATCCCTTCCCATGGGCCCACACGGTGGCTTCACACCTAGCATTGGCCGACTGATGTGCACAGGCAATGTATTTGACATAGGCCGACCGATAAGTACAGGAAATGTATTCCATGTGGGCCGACTGATACGCACAGGCAACGTATTCCACGTGGGCCAACCGATGCGCACAGGCAACATATTTTACATGGGCCGACTGATGCGCACAGGCAATGTATTCCACATGGGCCGACCGATGCGCACAGGCAACATATTTTACATGGGTCAACTGATAAGCACAGGAAACGTGTTCCATACCGGCCGACCAATGCGCACAGGCAACCTATTTTACATGGGCCGACCAATGTGCACAGGCAACCTATTTCATGTCAGCCAACCGATATGCACAGACAACCTTTTCCACGTGGGCCGACCGATACACAAGAAATGTATTCCATACCGGCCGACCGATGCACACAGGCAACCTATTCCATGTCAGCCAACTGATACACACATGCAACCTATTCTACATGGGCCTGCCTGATCTAATACAGACCGTCAGCCGGTCGATGGCCACAGCCAACAAGCTCCATGGGCCCGCCTGATAGCATCGGGAATTTCTCCCCATGGGCCCACATGATGGCTTCACACCCATCATTGGCCTACCAATATACATGGAGGATGCATGCTTTATGGGCCTACCTGATAAAGTCAACCGTTGCTCCTTCATGGGCCCGCCTGATACCACACATACAATCAACCAACCGATACACACAGGCACTATGTTCTACATGGGCCCAGCTGACAGCATCAGAGACTCCTCCACCACCATTTGCCCACCAATATACCAAACCCATGGGGCCATATGATGTTCATGGCCACCGGCCGACATGTTAATATCGACCATCATTACTTATGGGCCCAGCTGTTGAAATCAGGTCTCAGTAAGCCTGCCGGCCAAACGTTATGCACAGGCAAAACCATTCGATCGGCCGACGTCCGCTGGCCTGTATGGAACAGCATATTTTCAACCTCGGCTGCCTGTATAATACAGACTATGTGACTGAATGGGCTCCACAGGGGGCGTTGTGCATCAATCCTTGTTGACTGCTGTCTGGCTTGTTTTGCAGGAGTAGTGTATGGCCGACCACTTGATCAAGGAGGTGACATTCACGTCGCTACAGATGGCAACTTTCATCATCGTCACCGGCGCTCAGCTGGTGACTGCCCTCATTTCTATGAACCGTCATACTTCTTACCAAAGATGTATGTCGATCAAGTTGGCTCTAGGATATATAAGAAACGGAAGCGCCCTGCTATGTCGCAGACTCCAAGTATCATACCCAACGAGGCCATTGACCAGTGTGAGAATTCCTATGAAGCTGCTGATGGAAAAAAGCAGAAGGCTGCCATGGATGGTTTCGATGACACTGGTTTGATGGCAGCTTATTTGCTGCCATGATATCCCCCTATTTTTCGCAAACATCGATACACCCGGTGAGCAGCAAAAGTATGCTGTCGCTTTACTAGAACATTTGTTCTCGCTTCTCCCTACCAACACCACAGTTATTGCTTTGTACAATGTTGGCTGTGTATTATCTCGCTCGCTTTCACAGGTATGCTTCACAATAATTGATTATGTATATACCTAACATCTTGCAGTATGACATTCTAGACACTTCTGTCACTTCATGGCTCCACTTTGCAACGACTGCTATGCATGCCTATGGATACGAGTGGGGATGCCAGCTTGTCTACAATCCTCGTATGTGCAGTGGACTTGGTTTATCGGACGGAGAAGGCACCGAGAGGCTTTGGTCACGACTTGTGCATCTGATCGGTATTCAGTGGTCATCATTGGTCATCAGATGACACTATGGGTGCTTTGGACAGTCTAGAGAGGGGCCATCAATGTCTTATGGAGAAGGTCGAAGCGCTCTATGCTTCACTTAATATTCATGACAGGTTTCCAGAGCTTCAAGGCGTCAACCTAGATTTTGTCCGCACCCTTCTCATGGCGCGCGACCTCAAGATCAACATACACAAATGCGCGATCGGTAGTTTTTTCGAGTGGGATAAACTGGATAGGGCAGTCGGCGGTGCTCAGCAAGCTTTGGTAAGACCTACCCAAATCTATCAATTCATCCTTGAACTAATTTCAATATATCAGGTACTAAGCTCCATCAGCAAACTCATAAGGCAATAGCCAAGAGACAGCCAGCCCTGATGACTGCCATTTGTAAGTTCAACTCTTACTGTGAACGCCTAGAAACCCTCTATGACCCTTCATGGGGGATACCACTCCCGATGGCTCTTCCAACTAAACTAGTGGATTTGCGCAACAACCAGACCCTAATGGAGGATGTCTGGATTACGCCATCCGCAGGAGACATACCACGCTGGTTAGACAATTCGGACGTGAGAGGTGGAATCCGCACCCTCCTCAAGCATGATCGATGTCAAGAGGAACACCAGCGTCTCAGTATTGAAGCTGACAACTTGTGCCGCTATTTTGGAGATGAGCTCTGCGCTTTAGAACTTGCACTTTCTTCTGATGCAAGTAAGTGACTCCAGTGCCTCATTCCACCATTTTCTGACGATTTCAATAGATCAACTATTTAGTTTCTTGCTGCGAACACGCCAAGACCACCTTCTTCAGCTCCAATCACGCTGGGCAAATCCATTTACCTCTATGGCTTGCTTTTCTAGCCGTGCCAAAGAAGCTGTAGACCTTGTGAAGACACTCATGCGAGGTGCAGCCGAAGCTAACCCCAGTTGGATAAATCATCCTCTAACACTGGAAATTGATCACCAAGAAGACGACATTCCAGACTTCGAAGCAGGGCCATCAGATGTCGACGCACATCAAATTGCATTCACTGACTTCCTAGAAGAGGATTCTGTTGCTAACGAGGATATAGAAGACATTGCTGAAGTGGGAAAAACTAGCATCACCATCTGTTGGGCGGTTCCAGAGGTATGTCGCCATATGCCACCTTCTTTGCTTTTTTGAAACCATTGACAGGCACTCCAAGTTGATGAAGCACCTGTGCCTCACAAGGATCACAGCATCACTATGCAACGGCCAGGTGCGACTAGGATATGGCTCTCTCGGCATGGCTTCCCTCGACAAATATTTGATCCAAGGGATATCTCCTTCCTGAGTTCCCCTACTGCACACCTCAATGATGCATGCCTCAATGGCTGTGTGATCTTGCTGCATGATGCCCATATGTCCACCCCTACAGCGCAGCGCATCGCCATTCTCTCTACTCACGACCTGCCACATATCTGATACAATGCACCTGATAACATCCTCTGGTGTCAAACTTCATGGACACATTATTGGGAGAAGGAAGTATGGATATTGCCCATTCATCGGCCAGCTCCTGTCGGTCATTGGGTACTCTGTATTATTCACCGATCCTCTAGGGAATTCCATCTTTTTGACAGTTTTGCTGAAGAGCGCCCTTGTTAAGGTCGTGCTCAAGGGAGAGGTTACTCAAAGGGCTTCGGCTTCAGCTCGTGCACTGCGCCCCTTACCCGAGTACGTGCCCTTTAATTTCTGGGGGACAGAGGGGAAGTCCGACGGAAGTCCTGGGGAGTTCCGGAGGACTTAGTGTCAGTGGAGTTCGGCGGAACTCCTGGAAGGTTTATACTGGGACGGAGTAAGGCTACTACAGAAGTCCAGAGTAGAAACTGAACAGAGGTTAGACTACCCTAAGGTAGAGCCAGAGAAGTAGTCCTAAGGTTTAACCCCTAAGACTCAGAGGTGGACAAGAGATGAGACTCAAGTCCGGAGATTGCAGGAATGAGCAGAACTAAGATGATATTCGAACTGAGGAGTTCCGGAGTATTACAGGGGTTTATATACTGTAGGTATCATGTAGGTAAATCAGTCAGCAAAGGTGAGGGCTATGTATGAAGCATGTGGAAAGTCTATTACCAAGTATAACAGATCAAAGCAGTGAAGTCGGAAATGAAGTAAGAATGGACGGATCAGTAAGCATAGCGGAATAGGACATAACCAGTAACTGGAGCAATAGCTAATCTAAAAGGAGTTAGGGGTGAGTGCGGAGATGAAGGCGGAGCGCCGGGCAGAATAGTAAGACTGGAGGACCGGACTTTAATGGAGTAGATCTGGAATTCCAGATCCGGAGGTACGGGATATGACAGCCCTTGGCAACTTGATGTCAAGGTGAGGGCTCAGCCGTTATGAAATATGCGGGAACACTGATATCATCCACATAGGCTATTATGACGCTTGTGTCTCGTCTACTATCTATTGCTCGTCAACACCACCCTGCAGTATCACTCGATCTTCAAGGATGGAAAAGCTCGTCCACTTATCGTAAATTGATTTGGCATGAAGTCTGAGTCCTTACTAACTACATTTTCTAGCTCAAACCTCTTCAGACGAACGGTTACAACTGCGGAGTTTGGGTACTAGCTGGAATTATGGCAGTCTTACAAGGTTTTCATCTTACAGGCTTGCTGTGAGGATGACATGGAGAGCTTCTGGCATTTACTATATTGCCTTGTTCTCAATCTCGATATAGCATAGACAGACTCTTCCTGTGATGTTCGGTTCAATATATTTGTATAAGTCACACCCCAAAGTCCGGTTTCCGGTACCCTGTTATCAGTTGGACCTTCCTCAGTTCCTTCTAACAACTTCAAACCCTGAGCAAACAAAGTCCGAACCGTTCCCTCACGGCCACCCTTGGCACTACTTGCCCTTCCTCATCCTTCCTTGTTGCACAGCATTGTCTGCTGCGCTCACTCACAGCCGTGTAACGTGTCAACAACCTTCCGTGTGCACAAGGATGGAACAGAGGTCTGCGAGAGTCGAATGGAGGGCCTGCGAGGGTCGCAAGGGTCGCATTGAGTCTGTCAATAACGGAGGGAGGCTCGAGAGGCTCACTGGAGATTACTGATACATACTCTGCAACATACCATTGTAATTCGAGTCCACGAATACTGAAGACATGATTACTACACAACTACTGGTGTGATCATATTACTTTCTTGCGACCCCAAAAGCTCGTCAACTTCCTCTTTGTCCTCAATGATGCCTTCTTCATCCTCGAAGACGCCTTCCTCCACTGCTTCAATAGCATGTTGGCTGGCGCAGGCGATCTGCGGGATAAGGTCACCATGGTCAACTTCCACTTCGTCCTCAATGATGGCTTCTTCGTCCTCGATAATGCCTTCCTCCACTGCTTCAATAGCATGCCGGCTGGCGCAGGTGATCTGCGGGATAAGGTCACCATGGTGGTGAGTGCTCAGGACTGGCGAGCATTGCCTTGTTGCATGCAACCTCCAGTAGGATGGGGGGACTGGTACCTCAATGAAAACACGGAGTCTCTGTCGATGAGGTGGCCCGGGAGGAGAGTTTGAACAGGAAGCGTCATCCGGACAAGCCAAACCAAGCCTGTCGATCCTTCCATTGGCGAACTCGCACCGCCCACAAGTGATCAAAAAATCTCTTACAGGTGCTTCTCCGACTATGACGGGATCACGCGACAACATAAGATTTTTGCAGGCGTTCAGTGTGGTGACGGACTTGATGGTGAGTACATCCCTCTGGAGGGCATCTGCGAGGACACACCACTCATCAAGAGAGAGGTCGCTTATTCCCTTGCTTTTTGCCAGTGTGGGGCGTTTCTCACCAGGCATGAGGATATTTTCAGGGTAGTTTTGGAGGATACAGCCACGACGGGCTAGAACAGTGGGTAGCGTCTTCCACGGGAAGTTTCCTCCTCGCCCTTCAAGTGTTCCTGTACTAAATTTAGTAATTCTACACTTGATTTGACCATTGTACTTACCGAGAAGTGCTATCAAACCTCCAATGATGCAAGGGATCCCATCGAGGAACCTCCATCTGTCGGGAACAGAAGCTTGTTGCCTCTCCAACCATCTATCCAATACCTCCTGTGCTGGCAGCTTATGTTGCAATGCAATGCGTTCGAGAGCATAATTGAGTTTAGAGAAATCCATCGACTGCAGAAATTTGAACATCGATAACATGGGGAGAAGAAGTACTGCTTGAAACTAAAAGCCATCTACTGCAGAGCTCGAACATCAATAACGTAGCAAGAAGAAGTGTGCCTCATCAATCGATGGAAGGAATATGTATTATGCAAGCTGAGTCATCTTGATGATATCGTGGATTTGTGGTATTGCTTCCTGCACATTACACTCCTCATGAGCCATTTTTTAAAATCATGCAGGTGTATCAATAGAGACCACAACATGGAACACAACAAAAACTTTGTATTTGACACTGCTAGTATGAGAATACGCAAATATACGTGAATACAGGACATGGAGAGACAGATCATGAGCGGAACGGCTTGAACATATGCAAATAACACAATATCAGTCATCAGCAAAACTGCCCGGATCCTATGAGGCCATGAAAGGCCTCACAAGGCCATAAGAGGTGGCTGTGAGCCTGGCAGACTGTGCAAGGCTCGCAGTACCAGTGAGCGGAAATACTCCGGTCAAGAAAGGCGTCATGGGGCTTGTATGAATGAGAGGATCATCATTGCCATGCAAGGCCTCGAGAGGTTCAGAGGCTAGAAATATTTTTCGAAGCTTTCAACATGCACCCGATTTATGCAACCTCCAACAGGCTACTAGATTCATCTGCCTCAGATGGAGATCACTGCACAAAACAACGGGCTCACACCAATCCTGAGACACAAGAGCATACTACGTAGCATAGCATTGGAACATATGTACTGCATATGTCGTCACGAGGCAATAATGGGTCAAGTGGGAATGTAAAATAGCTTCAACAATGAGCGTGCAAGTGATACAGTTGACGAGCCTCGATCATGAGGGCACAAGCCACGTTCGAAAGAAAAGATGAAAAGTCAAGACAGCACTCTAATGCATTGAGGAGGCCAATGAGTATTTCATGCTTCTGTCATCATAACATCAGCCAGTGATGTGTCTGCAGCAGAAGGGTCGTTCTCCACTGGAGATGTCTGTGGAATATTGGCTTCTTTTCTGCTGTAGCATTAGCATCTGCTGGTGCGCCATTGACAGCGGCTTCGACCACATTCTCGTTTCCCTTGCTAGCGCCGAGAATAGCATGCTATTTGTCGACCATTGATTTCACTCGTGTCCAGAACTTGAATTCGTTGTCACGGGGAACCTTATCTGTGGATAAAGCAGCAATGTGACACATGACCTTACTGATTTTGGAAAACTGCATGGAAATTTGGGTAACAGAAGCGATGAGTACACGTTGCAAACATGAACAATTGATGCAGGACGCACTGAAAGGTATAGTATGAGATTGGGATGGTCATAGTTTTCGATAGTTGAAAAGAGTTGATCAAGAGCAGGCATT